ACACACATATACACATGCATATACACATACATACACATACACACACATATACACACATACATATACACACATACATACACATACACACATACACACATACATACACACATGCACACACATACACACATACATGCACACATATACACATACCCACACATACACAGACAATGTTCTTTATATATACAGATCTGCAACAGAGTTTGGGTAACATTTTCACAAATCTTGAAAAGGAGACCAATCAAACTCATCTAAATGTCAATCTTGTCATGGCGACACATAGGTTTAGGACAGACGTGTCCTGCAATGGTCACCACCGTTGGCGCTACGCTAAACTACTCCAGTCAAGGCACATTTGGATCATACAATTCGGGAACTACTGTAACGATGACATGTATGAGTGGGACGCCAATAGGTGAGTATAGAATCTAGTTTAAACTGATACGTTTCTGAAGCGAACTGCAGGTGCAACCATGGCCACATGTTTGAATGGTCAATGGTACCCAACAACACTCGGGACATGCTCAACAAACAGCATAATCAACGGTATTGGCGCTCAATGCCCTGCTCTCATTGCTCCATTTGGCGGCACAATTTCCCAAACTCTCGGGCTTTCCGGTAGTCCAGCTCAACAAGGGACTGTTGCCACACTTATATGCCCTTCTGGAGTGCTAGGTAAATATTGTTTTATGGCAACTAACTCTTAAGCCATAGCATAGAGCTCTTATTAAGGTACCGCTAGTGTTTTGTGCTCCAATGGGGTATGGACACCTCCAACACTCGGAACTTGCAATACATCGACAGGATTTGGAAATGGACTTGGGACATCTACTGGAAGCGGAACATACTGTCAATATGCCCCAGTAACTCCAGCGGGTGCAATATTATCATATTCAAACTCTGCTCTTTTCCCTCCTGTTCCACCAGGAACAACTGCTATGGCAAGATGCCTCAACGGCGCTGCGATAATGGGTATAAGGCATTTCCGAACGAACGCATGGATACTAGAAGTAAAGCTATGTTGTAGGTGCGAGTATTTCTACATGCACAAATGGTCAGTGGCAACCAAGCTCTTTTGGAACCTGTGGTAA